ATCATCTGGGAAGACCAGGTGATGTCAATCTCAAAGGTTTTAAATGCCCAGACTCATCTGACCTTGCCCCAACAATCAGTACCAAGCAGTTGTCTAGAAAACTGAAACTATAGACAAGCCTGATGCATTTTGGAAACAAGTTCTGTGGACCGATGAGGTTAAAATTTAACTTTTTGGCCGGAATGAGCAAAGGTACGTTTGGAGAAGAAGGGGCACAGAATTTAATGAAAAGAACCTCTGTCCAACTGTTAAGCATGGGGTTAGATCAATCATGCTTTGGGGTTGTGTTGCAGCCAGTGGCACAGGGAACAACTCACGAGTAGAAGGAAAAATGGATTCAATAAAATTTCTGCAAATTTTGGATGGTAACTTGATGCCATCTGTGAAAAAGCTGAAGTTAAAGGGAGGATGGCTTCTACAAATGGATAATGATCCTAAACACACCTCGAAATCCACGGGGGATTACATCAAGAGGCGTAAACTGAAGGTTTTGCCATGGCCTTCACAATCTCCTGACCTCAACATAATTGAAAATCTATGGATAGACCTTAAAAGAGCAGTGCGTGACAGACAGCCCAGAAATCTCAAAGAACTGGAAGACTTTTGTAAGGAAGAATGGTCAAAGATACCTCAAACAAGAATTGAAAGACTCTTGGCTGGCTACAAAAAGCGTTTACAAGCTGTGATACTTGCCAAAGGGGGCAGTACAAGATATTAACTCTGCAGGGTGCCCAAACCTTTGCAGACGCCGATTTTTTGTTTGCATCATTTACACTTTCAAAATAACAGAAAATAAAATCTAACTTTTGTTGACATATTATAAGAATGTCTAATCTGTAATTTGATTTAGCTGGGGTGCCCAAACGTTCGATCCCCACTGTGTATGTATATATATATATATATATATATATATATATATATATATATATATATATATATATCATACATACATATTTTGTGTTCAAAATAATACATCACTAACCTGATCAATCACTGTTTTTCGTAGAAATGATATTTATACATGGCAAATAATTTACTAGCAGGTGTAGTAGAGTAATATAAATCCAACAGACCCAACAGTCATGACATGCATGCTGCTGATTCTGTGTAATTGAATCACTAATTGAAAGGGGCATGTTCAAAATAATAGCAGTGTGGAGTTATATTAGTGAGGTCATTCATTCTTTGAAAAACAGGTGGCAATTATTGCCCTTATTTAAGGAAGGAAGGCAGAAAATGTTGTACATGCTAGTTACAGTGCATTTCTCTCTGAAATTCTGAGGAAAATGGGTCGTTCCAGACATTGTTCAGAAGAACAGCGTACCTTGATTAAAAAGTTGATTGGAGAGAGGAAAACAAATAAAGTGCAGAAAATCATAGGCTGCTCAGCTAAAATGTTCGCAAATGCTTTAAAAAAATGGCAACCAAAACCTGAAAGACGTGGAAGAAAGCGAAAAACTACCATTCGAATGGATAGAAGAATAGCCAAAATGGCAAGGACTCAGCCAACAATCAGCTCCAGGAAGATCAAAGAAGGTGTAAAGTTCCCTGTGAGGACTGTTACAATTAGAAGACGCCTATGTAAAGCCAAGCTATCTGCAAGAAGCCCCCGCAAAGTCCCACTGTTGAAAAAAAGACGTGCTGAAGAGTTTACAATTTGTTAAAGAGCACATTGACTGGCCTAAAGAGAAATGGCGCAACATTTTGTGGACTGATAAAAGATTGTTCTTTTTGGGTCTAGTGGCCGGAGACAGTTTGTCAGACGACCCCCAAACACTGAATTCAAGCCACAGTACACTGTGAAGACAGTGAAGCATGGTTGCGCAAGCATCATGATTTGGGGATGTTTCTCACACTACGGTGTTGGGACTATTTATCGCATACCAGGGATCATGGATCAGTTTGAATACATCAGAATACTTGAAGAGGTCATGCTGCCTTATGCTGAAGAGCAAATGCCCTTGAAATGGGTGTTCCAACAAGACAATGACCCCAAACACACCACTAAACGTGTAACATCTTGGTTCCAGACAAACAAGATTGACGTTATGGAGTGGCCAGCCCAATCCCCGGATCTTAATCCAATAGAAAACTTGTGGGGGGACATCAAAAATGCAGTTTCTGAGGCAAAACCAAGAAATAGAGAAGAACTGTGGAATGTAGTCCAATCATCCTGGGCTGGAATACCTGTTCACTGGTGCCAGAAGTTGGTTGACTCCATGCAACACAGATGTACAGCAGTTCTCAGAAACAGTGCTTATACAACTAAATATTCATTAAGTGGTTCAAAGGAAAGCAAAATCTTCAAACATTTTTCAGTTTATATAGTGAAAGTTTGAGTTTTGTAAAGAAGAGTACAAACACTGCTATTTTTTTGAACAGTCTAATATTCACTTTTCTTCAAATTGTTTTTAGAGGAACAACACAAATTTGATATATTTTTCTTCATGTTTTGATTTGGAATAGAATGTGTAGTGTTCCCAATGCATTTGTGTGTATGGAAATAAAAGCTATTAGAAGGATTTTGAGCTTTATTCACTTTTTTTCAACACACTATGCTAATATTTTGAACACAACTGTATGTGTATATATATATATATATAAAAAATTTGTAAATTCACAGACATTTCTACAATTAGGTTTTTACTTTTGTCATTATGGGGTACTGATTGTAGATTAAATGAGAAAAACATTTAAAGAACTGTAGTATCAGGCTGCAACATAGCAAAACTGAAAAAAGTGAAGGAGTCTGAATGCTTTATGAATGCACTGTATATAGACAATAAATGTACTTGTAATAGACTTTTGGAGGTTTAAAGAGTTTAAGCATTTAAAACCTGTAAGCATGGCAAAATATGTCTTGCCACTAAAAAGCCCGTTTAGAATTTGCTGGCTATGGTGTCCTGTAAAGCCTTTGGATATCACATTCTGACTTAATTCCCTTCACCCCCATCTACACCTATTTTGCAGTTGGAGCAGCCTTTTTCAACCAGGGTGTCCAGGCACCCTGGGGTGCTTTGAGGTTTCTTCAGGGGTCTTGCCTAAAAATTTACCAAAAATTGTATACAAGTCAGAGGTGCATCAAGCCTGCCTTTATGTTACACAAAGCCACAGGGTTTCATTGTGCACCATTATGACCATCTAGTCGCCGCCATCCAAAAAACCAATGGCATTACCAGTTGATGAGGATGTCAGTTGCCTGCACAGCATCCTTGTTTGACCATCCCCTGCGCCTCTCCATCAGCACTGGGGAAACATTAGCTGAGTGATGGAGAAAACCTTTACGAAGAGAAAAACTGAAATACTAGTCAGTACTGGTGTGCAAAAGTGCATTTGATTTGGAAGAATAAATCACCTCTAACGTTGGGTGTCCTATGTGTGGATATTGATGCATCATGTAAAACTATTAGAATATTTTTTACATTTTAGAATGGGGTGCCTCGAGACTGTCCATATTTTAAAGTGTGCCTTGACTGAAAAAAGGTTGAGAAACACCAAGTTGGAGTACAGAGAGGCACGGTCTACAGATAAGTGGTGGGTAGGGCACTCAACTAGCCGAGATTCGATCCATCTATGGCAGGCTTTTGAAACACATTAAAATGACAGCTTGGGTAGGGATCACTGATTTTCATGCAGTAACGAACTCTCATTCATATAGATGCTGGTAAGGACAAGGGGATTAAAATGGAACCATAACACATCTACTCCTTGCACACTGATGTATTAAATGCAGCTGCTACCTGAACATGATCAAATACGGATTTATAAAGAGAATACAGGTTTCAACAAGTAAATGAGTGCCCACCCCTGCTGTTTTAAAGGGCATGAAACTCAAGCATGCAGCTTGTGACCACACTGGATATGCATACACAATACAGTCTGGTAAACATGAAATGAGCTGGCTCAGATACTTTCAGGCGTTGAGAGCATTTCATTACAAACATCGCTGAATCCTATGAGAACACTCTCACTGAATTACTATGAGCACACTGAGCTGTATTTATAAAAGCATCTAACAAAGAAAAAAGTAATTATTGTCTTTTTTGTTTTCTAACTAGCCATATCAACCCAAGATTGCTGCTCCAGGCTTTCAGATTACTGGTTCCTGATGTTAGGCCTGCAGGAACAGTCTTCAAGTGAAAAGCTAGTGTCAGGCTTTCTTATTTGGCAGCCCAGCATGTACTGCACACAGTGACACACTTTGTTTTAAATGTTATATAAAAAAAAAAAAAACATGCACAGTAAAGCCGTGCCCGTGTAAAGGTCACCCGCCAACCTACATAAACCCACCTTTGGGCTCATACAGTATTTTACACGCAGCAGTGTTGGCTAGATTTCACTCTATACTGTCCATCCGTGTAAACAAAGCATAACAGTATTCAAAAGTATGGACATCATTAAACCCTTTTACCTAGTCCACCACCTGTACTTCTCATTTGCCTGAGATCACACCATTTAGGAAGAGCACCCACAAAATACCCCATAAATGCCAATTCTTCATGACCTCTTTCCACAAAAAAAAAAAAAAAAAAAAAAAAAAAAAAAAAGGACTTTTGAGAGCCGAGAGTCCACCCTGTCATGCCCAAATTAGCACATTTCTTCTATAGTCCTTTGTTTTACATCAGTCTAACCTCAGAGCTAAGCTCCCACCTCCAATGTAGCAATGCCAACAACCCCCTCTGCTGCTATATTATGTAATCTGAAAGAAGTGGCCTGTAGAAGGGAGGAAATAAAAGGAGTTAACATCGCCAGCAGGGATGAGGAAAATAAATATAAAGGCTAATGTAAAACCAAAGTACATAGAAGGTTCATCCTACAATGCATATCACAGAGCAGACCGCTGGCACTAAATTTATGGAAAGAAGGAGCTTCGAAACAACCATTTTGAACAATGTATACCAAATCAACAACTGCATCACACCAATTCCCAAATAAGATACGGAAGTGACATATCCTCTTTAATGCCAAATGATATGTACAAATATGAATATCGATCTCACCTGGATGACCGCACTGAACCAACAAGTATTCCCCACATTTTTTTAATCCCACCGGGCAGTTGTCTTGTCGCTTTCGGTCATAAGGATTGGGCGAGTCACTCCAAACCTCGGTGTGGGTGCGTTTTAGGCTGGCCTTGTTCTCGGCTATACTGGCTTCCAACACCCTAAAGCAAGATGGAAAATACAAGTCATCACACTTCTAGGGCAGATTTTAACAACCAGTCTGGCCAAAGCAGAACTTGGCTAGCATCATTAATTAGCCATAGAACTCTTACTCCTTAACAGTTAAAAAGATACACTTTTAACATTACATAAATACTGAATATTTCTTAATACAGCAACTCCCTGATTCCCAGGGTTATATTGCCCAGAGCTGACAAATTCCTGGGACAATGTAGCCAATAAAGTGAAAAAAAAAAAAAAAAAAAAAAAAAAAAAAAGAGCTGGTGTCTAAGCTTTTTTTTTTTTTTTTTTTTTTTTTTTTACTGCTGGCCATCATCTTCTCTGAATTACAAATACAGAGTCCCTGAAAGTACTAGCAAGTCATTCAGGCCACAGAATTGCATTGTGCTCCAACTTAGAAGAGGTTTCAATTTACATATGTATTTCAACTATTTTTATGGCCACTATATATGGAACGTAGAGTGAAAGTTGCCTTATACAGTTTTTTCTTTTGCTAAATAAATACAGGTTTACTAAACCAACCAGTTAGTCAATTACTATAAATAATCATAGATCTCTCATTACCACGTCCCTCCTGCTATGCATGAATACTGGGTCATTTTGATTGGCAAAGCTCCCATCTTCCACACACTTCTATTGGCCCACTGATCTGGTGAGCTGCCTCTATGTTCAACAGGAAAGGATTAGAGCAGAACAGATGGGCAAGCTTTGACATAATCATAACATATCTCAGATATGACCAGGGGACTTCTGTTGCCCCAGTGATAATGTTCACTTGGACAAAACATGTAGGGTAGAGCTACAGCAGTGACATCAGCACACCCGCCAGGGCGCTTGATGCTGTACATATGATATGCTGTGATTCTCTTTCTTATGTGAGTAGATGTCTGCCTTTTTAAAAACTTGCTTTTAATACTGCACCATGAGCAATTCCGTTCCTCCTGCATGAGGTTCTCTGGAGTGACCGATTCCGAAAGTCTGCCAATCTGACTTGGTTTGTGATCAGGAACAAGTAGGTGTCATCAGTGGAGGATCATTTTCCACACTTCCATCCATAACCTAGCTGGCTGATTGAGACCGGAGGAGATTGGTGATCCATCCATCCTTAGTGGGATTGCTTCTTAAAGTGCTGTTGGACCTCCTGTGTCCAGAGGTCTAAGCTTTCGGTAAGAGGCTTTGATATCCCTCTTGGTGTTGTGCACAGTAACAAGGATTGGTGGCCCAGGATTACTGTAGCTGTAGTTGGCGCACAAGAGAGCACTTTGCTTTACTTTGGTTGGCACTATACCTGGCTTCTCTATGAACTTTTTTTTAAAGAACTTTTGGACTTTTTCACATTATTTATTAGGTTGCACTTTACATGAAGTGTGTTTATTTATAATTATTTATGGTTGGTGGTTGTTCTATTTCCATATGCACTTTAATTAGTTATAAATGATTCTGTATCATGCATTATCCTTTAGTAGCGCAACAGATATTTTGGGGGGATTTAGGTATACCCGTGCTAATTGCAGGTTTCCCGTTTCCCAAAAGCTTTGATTCAGGACAATCCAGACACAAGCTACTAGACCACGAATAGCAAACATTTTTAGAGTTGGGTAGCAGGGAACATTTAGGACAAAGAAGAACAGAATCCTGCAGGCATACGTAATTTTTCCAGAAGGGACTGGATTAAAAACAATAACCTAACAAACCCCCATTACCATACCTGCTGATGGCTTGTTCCTCATCAGTGATGCCCGTCTCCCTGAACGTTCTATTTGACTCCTCCAGGCTCAATGCTATTGCCCTCTGAAGGTCATCTTTATCATCACCAGTGAGATCAATCACATCTGGAAAGAAAAAAAAAGGCCCACTTAGTTCCAGACACCTTTAAAAGGTGACAGTAAATGCATTTAATTGGTTCCTAAATTTTCCCGAACAAAAGCTCTACTCTACACTGTGCTGATCTCTCAAGCATTAAGATAGAAAAATAACAAAACAGGTCCACTTTATCTGTTTGTTTGCTTCCTCCGACAATAAAACAATCCAGCGAGGAGGAACAATCCCTCCGGCAACATCTTTTTTTGTTTTACAAGAACAGGAAATCAGCTGTTCATGAGAGACTTCACATGGGAATGCGCTTTCAATGATCAAGACTGAGCTTAAAAAGAAAAAGTCAAACATTTTCTGTGCAGACATTTACAGTTATTAGAAATCCAGATCTGTGCCTGGAAAGTAGATAGCAGTGAAATAATAACCGGTATTTAACTACACTGCATCAATAACTGGCCTCTGAAATGATATCCTGGCCACACATGTGGCAAACTAAAAGCTCTTTAGCAGCTTATTGAAAACATATGCATGGAAACGCGACATGTCAGTCTTCGGCCCATGTTTTGATAATTTTCTGGTCTGGGGTGTCTAAACTAATGGTCTCTAAACTTCAGCACACGGGCCAGATGTGGCCCTTTTTTGGCCTTTAACCCTTGGAGCACTATTCTTATGACTACGGGACCCTATTCCTCCCACGGACACCAACGACGGAGCACTACCTTCCCCTGACACCACGATGACTACTCCTTCCCCTGAACAACGATGGGACACTATCTTCCCCTGACACCAACAATGGGGCACTACTCCTTCCCTGACACCAACAATGGGGCACTACTCCTTCCCCTGACACCAACAATGGGGCACTACTCCTTCCCCTGACACCAACAATGGGGCACTACTCCTTCCCCTGACACCAACAATGGGGCACTATCCTTCCCCTGACACCAACAATGGGGCACTACTCCTTCCCTGACACCAACAATGGGGCACTACTCCTTCCCCTGACACCAACAATGGGGCACTACTCCTTCCCCTGACACCAACAATGGGGCACTACTCCTTCCCCTGACACCAACAATGGGGCACTACTCCTTCCCCTGACACCAACAATGGGGCACTACTCCTTCCCCTGACACCAACAATGGGGCACTACTGCTTCCCCTGACACCAACAATGGGGCACTACTCCTTCCCCTGACACCAACAATGGGGCACTACTCCTTCCCCTGACACAACAATGGGGCACTACTCCTTCCCCTGACACAACAATGGGGCACTACTCCTTCCCCTGACACCAACAATGGGGCACTACTCCTTCCCCTGACACCAACAATGGGGCACTACTCCTTCCCCTGACACCAACAATGGGGCACTACTCCTTCCCCTGACACCAACAATGGGGCACTACTCCTTCCCCTGACACCAACAATGGGGCACTACTCCTTCCCCTGACACCAACAATGGGGCACTACTCCTTCCCCTGACACCAACAATGGGGCACTACTCCTTCCCCTGACACCAACAATGGGGCACTACTCCTTCCCCTGACAATGGGGCACTACTCCTTCCCCTGACACCAACAATGGGGCACTACTCCTTCCCCTGACACCAACAATGGGGCACTACTCCTTCCCCTGACACCAACAATGGGGCACTACTCCTTCCCCTGACACCAACATTGGGGCACTACTCCTTCCCCTGACACCAACAATGAGGCACTACTCCTTCCACTGACACCAACAATGAGGCACTACTCCTTCCACTGACACCAACAATGGGGCACCATTCCTTCCACTGGCACCAACAATGGGGCAATATTCTTCTGAATAATACAAATGATGGGGCATGGTTTACTTTCCCTGACACCAGGGTATTTTCTACTTCCACCAGCCACAGTCTGAAAGACAGTAAACTAGCCCTTTGTTTAGAATGTCTGGAGAACCCTCGCCTAAACAGTTGAAAGCCACAAAAAAATTCAGCCATTTAGACCCCACAAACTAAGAAAAAACTGAAACCATGGCTTACAGATTGCTGTGGACTCCACTCTGCTATATGACCTTTTTTAGTCTGAATGTTAATAAATGTCCATCAGAGGGTCATTCCCTCTCCTATCTCCCCTGGTCTCCCAGCTTCATCAACAGCATATAAATGTGTGTAGGTGTGCTGTGCAAATCGAAAGCTAAGCTGGCCAAATATTGATAGATTTTTTTGTTCAGACTGCAGGCTGAACAAACAAAATGTAACAGATTCCTCCATTTACAGCCCGGATGGACAAATATGCAAATGCAGCACCATCTATTGTATCCCGACCCATGAAAAGGACTGTCAAAATACCTGAACAGTAGATGTATCTGACTGGATGTAGTAGCTGTTTGGCTCAAAAAATTCTGCCTGGCTCCTTGATTTTGCAATCAAAGATGTCGGGAAAGAGGGTACAGAAAGGTCCCCTCTGAAGTGAATTTTGACTGGTTCATCAAAGAATGGGATCAATGTCTCTTTGTTCATGGCTATCTTAACGGCATTGCTTTTCTGTGTTTAAAACTAGTGTCAAACACAGGTCAGCAGACCGAATTCCTACTAACTTGATGGATTAGTGTAGAGGGCAGAGTTCAGAGGTTGCATTTGACCAGTTTTATTTTGAGTTTCTTCAGAGGCATCTAGTCCTATTGAGGTTTATTTCAAATACGAGCAATGCAGATAAAAGGCAGCCTTTTTTTTCTTTTTAATCAAACAATACAAGCCTTTTCCATTCCACCGCTTGCATGTGAACATATTTGAATGAAAAAGGCTGCATTTGACAAGAATGTCAGTCTGCATGAGTCACTAGAATGTTGCTATTTGTACAGCTGGTTTGGATTGCAGGATTTTGCAGCGAGGTGCATGCGCTGCTTATACCATCTCTACCTTCTTCAGCCATTCATTTTTGACTTTTTACTAGCTGATGTTGCTGCCCTCTTGAAAATGCTGGCTGCTTGGCTGTCACACTAAAGGAAAAGCCTCAAAACTTTCTGAATCACAAATCCATTGAGCTAGTAAAATCAGAGCTGCAAACTTTTCCCAGGTAAGTTGTACAGGAAGCATTGAAGCCACCACATCAGCATGACAGACAAAAAACTGGCATTTTAAGAAGGAAAAGTTTCTCTCAGTACAGGTTTCCTTAAAAACTGATGCCAAACTGGACCACAATTGCCTCCAGCATTGCTCCTGTTTCTTAGAGCAGGATGCTGCTATATTGCAGAAGCCCAGAACCCTTGAGCAGCAGTAAATATTTTATTTATTTATTTATTTCAGGTACTTACATAGCGCTGTCAATTTATGCAGCGCTTTACATGTATATATTGTACATTCACATCAGTCATATTTAGGCTGTCAGCAGATCCTCTACAAATGTGGCACAGTGCATAAAAAAAAGGGGGCAACTGAGCATGTGCAGAGCAGGGTGAGAGTGTATTACTGGATTTTAAACAGTATTGGCACTTATTTTTAAAGAAGTCCCCATTTAAAAAAAATAATAAATGTACACGTTTTTGCAGGTAAAAAAAGTGCATTTACTACCTTTTTTTTTGTAGGAGACTGGAAAGCATTGCACCCACGATCAGCAGAAGTAGATTGTCAATGTAAGCCGTTTGCTCAAACCTCGTACGAGCAGGCAGTTACACAACGGCAGGAAGACTCAAATGAACTACTAGAACACACAACAACACCCTGGTAGTTCATTGACAACTGCAAGCCATTAGCCGCAAAGCTGTTAGATTTCTGTGAATAAATGACACGGCCGTGTGGGCGGAACCACACGCAGCCAAAACATATTCCCAAAGGTGATCCTTTAATGTTTCACAAAGCTATACCTGCAAAAGGGGTCAGCCTAAAGTGATCTAGCGGGACTTAACTTTCTGACTAAAGTTCACATTCACTTGTCCACAATTGTGCAATTTTCCTCACCACTACACCTCTCTTTATGAACGGACCAAGTCTATCACATGTGATATGAATTCATAATTAAAAAAACAAGCTGTCAGCATGCAGCACAAAACTGAACAGGTTTTAATTACGCAGCTCCAAGGTTTAATTTGCATACTTGATAAGCAACAAAAAAAAAAAACCATCGGATTCCAGGTTGCAGCCTGTTAAATATCTGTGTTTAACGCAGATGTCAACGAACTGGCACCGGCTTGCAAACAAGAAAAATCTTCTGTCAAGCTGGCTTGTTATCTGGGTCGGAATAGCCTCCCAAGCCTTTTAGTTACAAACTTCCTGGCTAACCCCAAAAGAATAATATTTAACCGTATCAGCCACATCAGCTGCAAGAATCAAAAATAGTTCTATATATGGGCAATGGACCAACCTATAAACCAAAAGGCAGATTTAAAAGATAAATGCATCTTTTACCCAATTTTTCTAGCTGGCCTCCCTCTGCCTTCATAAACCCGATGTGAAATATTGGTAAACAGAGCGATTTAAAAATAAAAAAGTGCAGATTTAAATATCCTTTGTAATTTCTGTATCAAATGATTGGACCTGAGAGCTCATTCTCAAAGACCTCATTTCTTGATTCCTTATGATTTATAGACAGCAAGTGAATCATTCAGCTGTCCAGAACTATCCTGGAACTATTTCGCCTGATCCTTGAACATCTTCTAGTGACCAAAATGAATTGTTTAAAGCCTGTATAGGAACAAGAAGTTCATTAAGGTGATATTAAAACCTCCGAAAAAAAAAAAAAAAAAAAAACCTGAGAACTGTAGCTATATACTTTGTCTTCACTGCTTCCCGTTCCCAGCTTTGTACAGTCCTTACAGACTTGCCAGCATAAGAATGTTTCCTATGTTGAGTTTGCACCTAAATAGTTTCTCCGTTATTATTATTATAATACAGTATTTATATAGCGCCAAAAAGTTTGCACAGCGCTTTACAATATAGTGGGGGACAGTACATGAGACAATACAGTAACAATACAATACACGAGGGGTTCAAGGGCCCTGCTCCTTGGAGCTTACAATCTAGGATCACCAATGTCAACCCAATGTGCATGCTCTCCTGGTGTTGGGGCTGTGGGCACTATGCCAGATAAGCGCACGCACAGTAGTGGCCAACTCCTTCCAATCCAAGCACAGTACGGTGTATGTGCCAGATGGACACAGCACCAGATCTCAGAAAGACAGAAGTACTGAATGCAAATTTGCCGGCCAGACAGCGCCAGCAACCCTCTACTGCGCATATGCTGGCTGGACACAACTCCAGCCGCCGTACAAGGAGATAAAAAAAGCATCAAAAGATAAGGATTGGGGAGACAAAAAAAAAAAAAAAAAACACATTTACACCGTTTAAGTGGAGCTTAATTTAAAGTGTAGTTTTAGGCCTCAGGACGATTTGCCAACTCTCCTAGAAGCCCTTTGGCAAAAAAACACCTGTAAAAGCCTGTACCGTGTTTAGGTGTGTCAAGCACTATGGTGTTAACTTAATTGGCCAAAATAATAATTTATTCTGGTCACTGAAATTAATGTTCAAGCGTTAAATGCACCTAGCGGTAAGCCACGTTTAGACTCGATCACAGGCGACAAAATGCTGCTGCTCCTGGACATATGTCATTATTTAAAAAAGATAAATCTAGATTCGCAAGGGCATGTCATGCACAGATTTATTTATATCCCTTGTGGCTTTCAAAGTGTATATTTAAATTTAAGATTTGCTCTCTGAGCTCAGTTTTAAGAAGCTAGGGGTTGCTGGGCACTTTCACCCCCTGCCACACTTTGAATGACAATTGCGTGATCATGCAATACTGTACGCAAATTTATAATTTTTTGAGACAGATTTCTTTTGGTGGTATTTAATCACCACTGGGATATTTTTTTTTACAAAAAGACAAAATTGCAAATAAAAGATACAAAAAATTTATCTTCACAAATATGTGCCGATAAATACATTTTCTTCAGTGATGGGCAATGATGAGACTGCAGTGATGGGCACTGTATGGTACTGATAAGCTGCACTGTTGGGCACTGACCATCAGTGTAAATGTCCCGTCACAGGAAAGCCAGTTATCAGCTTTCCTTTCCTCAGACAGCAACAGCGCTGAGGAAAGGAAATGCCAATAGCTGGCATTTGTTTACATGTGATCAGCTGTGATTGGACACAGCTGAAAACATGACAAAGAGCCAGATCCAAGTCATTGGCTCTTAACCCTAATCGGTGAGGTATTGTGTCCGAGACACACAGTTCACCATTGATCGCGGGGAGCGCATGAGCGTAATGATTGGGAGGACATCATTTATTTCAGGTACTTACATAGTGCCATCAATTTACACAGCGCTTTACAAATACTGTACATTAACATCAGTCCCTGTCCTCAAGGAGCGTACAAAGTTCCCTTACATTCATACATACACATAGTAGGGCCAATTTAGACAGGAGCTAATTAGCCTACCACCATGTCTGTGGAGAGTGGGAGGAAACCGGAGTACCCGGAAGAAACCCACGTAGGCACAGGGTGAACATGCAAGCACCAGGCAGGTGGTACCGTGGTTGGGATTCGAACCAATGACCCTAGTACTGCCAGGCGAAAGTCTCAAATATTATCTGATAATCTGCTATAGTCCGGGCAGGATCTGGTTAAATAGAACCGATCCCAACTGGAGTTATGCAAGAATCTTAGTAAGTCTTAAATTATAACAAATGAGCAAGGTTACAAATAAAGTATAAAATTGACTTACTTGTGTCCGCCTGGCTGCCCACACTGATGTATCGGTCATTATTGGGGAGCGCAGTCTGATAGTACGTGGCTTCTTCTGGCTGTGGGAGCTTTGCATTATTTGCTGTAAGAAATGCAACCGCTAACTCCAGATTTCCATTACTGTCCTGAAAATCCACAAACAAATGGCCTTCATTAAATAAAATGAAAACACATAAGTGAAGGAGACACTGCACTCCCCACACATATTCCTATTTAAAACATACTTCATGCCATCTTTTCATTAATCTATATATAGTGTCTCTGGCGAGTCTAATTCAAATATCTAAAATCATGTGCATCTATAATGAGATGCCTAGCGTAGTACCTATCTGTGCTGTGTGCATATGTATCACTGCTTAGCTCAGCACAGAAATGAATCAGAAGAAAAGGGGAGCACATCAGGGAAAAGGCTGGGGCTCCAGAGAAACAAAGCAACTCAACAATCACTTTATGGGCTGGCTTATGCAAACTGTGTTCAGATAACAAAACCTGGCATTTTCAGGTGTCTGGGAGTCAATGGTGCAGTGTCTAGCCCCACTGTCAGCAGTCTGTCAAAATCTCTGGCAGGCATAATTATACAGCAGCTGGACAGTGAACCAAGTTGTATGTGCATTTAGAGCTGCAAGCCCAGAATGCAGGAATCACTTGGTACAGCACCAAGCCAACAAGTATCAGTTTATTCTTTAACATGCAACATTGGGTGTAGTCAGCAAGTCAGAAATGCACATAAAGCACTCTTTTTGACCCTTCTGTCTGAACAAATTAAAAAAAATTTTCTGGCTAGAATATGGAAACGTTAGAACCTCTGTCAGATTTTTCTTGTTGTCTGTGTCCTCAGAGATTCAACCTCTCTATTGGCCCTGGTGACCACTGTCTCAAATACAGAAACTAATGAGAAACCTAACATGCAGTCAAGTTAAAAGTTATGATGGGCAACTTGATCTAGTGACAACTGTCCAAGAGGAGATATACCCTCGCTTTGGAGAGATCTCCACTTACTTTCTGTGTAGTTTATTCAATACGATTGCCTTTATTAACTGTGCCATCATTAGATGTCCATTTAAGAGCCATTCAAGCAGAAAGCTGGAAAACATTGTTTTATCACAACTTTATATTCCTAAATGTACACATTAATGAACGCATAATGTAGTATTACATAATTTATAATTACATCTACCAGTGACATCATTTGGGTAAAGGTATTGTAAACTGTACATGCCCATTCATACGATTTAATAGGCGCAGAGAGATACTCTGATGTGGTTTTATTACGTATTATGTACAAACATGTTTAAATCATATTTTGATAGTTTTTTTTTTTTCCTTTTAGACATACTGTCAATACAATTTAAATATAATGAAATCTGTGGTTCCTGACAGACTTCTACTCCTTTCACCTGTGCTAAATTTGCCATAAACAAAAAGCACAAATGAAGTTAAATTTGCTATGCACGTTTGCAGCTCTTCTCTCCCCTCACTTCTGAGTCCTGATGTCGGTTTTCTACAGTAACAGAAACAGACAGCAGGGCTCAGGAGCGAGTATGCAAATGGTACCTCATAGGAAGCGTTTTCCTATGGGGTACCATTGAGAAGAGGAGACGCCAGGAGCATCCGTGGGGAACCCTAGAAGAGAATGTCTGGGGTAGCTCTGTGCAATTCCATTACACACAGCAGGTAACTAAAAACCTGTTTGCTATTTAACCACTTGCCTACTGGGCACTTATAGCCCCTTCCTGCCCGGGCCAATTTTCAGCTTTCAGAACTATCGCACTTTGAATGACAATTGTGCGGTCATGGAACATTGTACCCATATGAAATTTTTATAATTTTTTCACACACAGAGCTTTCTTTTGGTGGTATTTAATCGCCCCTGGGTGTTTAATTTTTTGCACTATAAACAAAAAAAAGAGCAAAAAGTTTGAAAAAAAAAAAGTTTCTGTGTTTCTATTATACAATTTTGCAAACAGGTAATTTTTCTCCTTCAAACGATGTGCGTTGATGAGGCTGCACTGATAGGCAGCACTGATGGGATTGCACAGATAGGCAGCACTGATGGGATGGCATGGATAGGGGGCACAGGTGGGCGACGCTGATGGGCTACCTATCGGGGGACTCGTCAAAGCGGAGCCAGGAACTTTGGCAGAGGACCCCAGAAGGAGGAGGATCGAGGTTGCTCTGTGCAGAACCATTAATTAAAAAGTTTTACAATCCCTGATGGCTTTAAAGTGTACTTACACATTTGCAGCCAAATTGGGTAAAACCTACTTTATGCAGCATTTGGTGCATGTTCTCGTTCACATTAAAAAAAAAAAAAAAAAAAATTAGTTTTTTTTTTTTTTTATGTTCTATTCTTGACCCTCCAGCAAAGAAAATTCCTATCTAGTTGTAGGTAGTTATGAAGGCGCTGGGCAGCTGTGGTTTCCATAATCAACCAGGTGTGTACTGTCCTAACAAAGTGTTAAAGGTGTAGAGGCTGGGCTTCTTGCATTGCATGTTAATGAGAATAAAATTTGGGACAGGCTCACTCTAAAATGTGTCATAGATGGATAGAAATTTGGCAATTCAGCAGGGACCGTCCAAATTCCAATCCATCTATGGCCAATCCCATTCATGAGAAGTAAATCTAATCATCGAATTTTCATGAATGGGCTTGTTAGAATAGACTGCATCCCTGATCAAACACAAATTTTCCGACAGCCGAGGGGTACCCACTGTCAAAATACAATATCACAGTGGGGATCTTTACAGGAGGAAAAAAAAAAAAAAAAAAAAAAAAAGACCCATATATGGCCAGCCTTATATTATTCCCAAAAACTTTGCAGTAAGCCAATGCACCTCTTCCTGAGAAACTTCTTAAAAGATGGTATTCTAAAAAGAAATATTTAAAACTATTTTTTTTAGGCATGCTATATGAGTAAGAACATATGACATTTGCACAAGTGGAAATACGCTTTAGGATGTTCCTACAATGGGTGTATAGAGCGGTTTCTAAGGAAATAAACAAATGACTCAAACAGAAATGGAAACTAGCACACCAACAAATGTATTACTTTAAGGAAAATATTTCAGTTCTACAAGAAAGCAACTTGATGTAATGAGGCCATTGATGGAACAATACAAATTAGACCTCATCCATCAAAGTGTAAGATTTTTTTACTTTAATTTTCCAATTTTGGAGGCACCTACAGTGCATAAAGGCAGACAGCTCCCTATCAATTTTAGCCGTATTACTAATTAGTCATGTTAGATTTTGCCAGATGATCGCTATTCTTGTTCTGGAATAAGGACATCACTAGAAGTGCCTAAGCAGAGTGAATGGAAGTGTTCCAACCATCTAACGTCTGTGGACACCTTAAAATGTGAGGATTTTCAGGGTTTACTCAAGAAAACACCAGCTGCCAATGTCAGTGCTGACAAAAGAAATAAAAACACAAGTCAATCCAAGTTGTCATGTATGTCTGGGTAGTCTAGTGACTTTTCCATCAGTGCAGGTTTGTAGAGGCCTGGAGGAATGTGGTTTGAGGCCCATTCACAACACTTGCAGCACGCTCTGTCCAATTACATCCATTGTGCTAAAGTGCAACTCCACTTTTGTGGGGAAAAAAGCCATATTGTAACAATGTTATTAAAAATAACCTTTCCTTTTAAATCTGCAGCTCTGTAGATTTCTGTAAAATTCAATGCAAGACGGCAACCTGGAAGCGTCCTGTACATAGTTTGTATTTGGACACCCCCCAGAAACATTTCCCGCTTGAGTGATTGGCTCACCAATTTTCCCAGAAGTCTGCACTAAAATACAAGTCAGATTTTAGGAATTTTCTGCAATAAAAATTTCATTTTTGGTGAGATACTTCTACAGGCTTAATCAGTGTGCACATTGACACAAACAAATAGATCTTCAGAGCAGAAACAGGTGGGAATCTGCAAAAAAGTTTAAGGGCTTATGTACACTGCAGCTGATGAACTCACATTCAGGAGCTTTTCTGCGTTTTTTTCAGCAGCTGCTGAACTCTCCCTAATGTTTTCCTATGTGTCCATGTACACGGTCGTTTACATGTACAGTGGGGCAAAAAAGTATTTAGTCAGCCACCAATTGTGCAAGTTCTCCCACTTAAAAAGATGAGAGAGGCCTGTAATTGGCATCATAGGTAGACCTCAACTATGAGAGACAAAATGAGAAAAAAAATCCAGACAATCACATTGGCTGATTTGGAAATAATTTATTTGCAAATTATGGTGGAAAATAAGTATTTGGTCAATATCAAAAGTTCATCTCAATACTTTGTTATATATCCTTTGTTGGCAATGACAGAGGTCAAACGTTTCCTGTAAGTCTTCACAAGGTTGGCACACACTGTTGCTGGTATGTTGGCCCATTCCTCCATGCAGATCTCCTCTAGAGCAGTGATGTTTTGGGGCTGTCGCTGGGCAACACGGACTTTCAACTCCCTCCAAAAGGTTTTCTATGGGGTTGAGATCTGGAGACTAGCTAGGCCACTCCAGGACCTTGAAATGCTTCTTACGAAGCCACTCCTTCGTTGCCCGGGCGGTATGTTTGGGATCATTGTCGTGTTGGAAGACCCAGCCACGTTTCATCTTCAATGCCCTTGCTGATGGAAGGAGGTTTGCACTCAAAATCTCAGGATACATGGCCCCATTCATTCTGTCCTGTACATGGATCAGTTGTCTTGGTCCCTTTGCAGAGAAACAGCCCCAAAGCATGATGTTACCACCCCCATGCTTCACAGTAGGTATGGTGTTCTTTGGATGCAACTCAGCATTCTCTCTCCTCCAAACACGACGAGTTGTGTTTCTACCAAACAGTTCTATTTTGGTTTCATCTGAGCATATGACATTCTCCCAATCCTCTTCTGGATCATCCAAATGCTCTCTAACAAACTAGGGGCCCGGACATTTACTGGCTTAAGCAGGGGACACGTCTGGCACTGCAGGATCCGAGTCCCTGGTGGCGTAGTGTGTTACTGATGATAGCCTTTGTTACGTTGGTCACAGCTCTCTGCAGGTCATTTGCTAGGCCCCCCCGTGTGGTCCTGCGATTTTTGCTCACCGTTCTTGTGATCATTTTGACCCCACGGGCTGAGATCTTGCGTGGAGCCCCAGATCG